TCTTTTTATAGCCAATAGTGAAATCTGCAAACCAAAACGAACTTTTAAATCTGGAAAAATATTAAAGATCATATGCACATAGACTGCTATAATTGGATATGTCTGACAACATGTGTTCACACAGTGCTAGTCACCTGAGAACTTTTACAATTAAATGGTTTTATTGGCATTATTTCCAGTGGAAAAGTACACAAACAGCCTAATAATGCAATGTAAGAATTGCGAACTTTAATTTGAACCTGCATTGTGCTGGAATGAGTTCCTAAATGGGCTGGACTGCTGTATGGGGGATAAAAATTACTGGGTACCCAGAAACATTCAGTACTACTTTTTTTTTTAAATTAAATATGCATATGATCTTTAACAATGAAGAAAGGAATAAATAGAGGACTTAAAGCAGTTCATGAAAATGGACCTTTTAACGATTCTTGTAAAGCTTGCACAGATCTGATATTTATTTTGTCTTGGTTTTTAGGTGGAGAAGATGACACAGCAAAGCCATCTTGCAGAAAATCGAGACTGAATGGAGGGTGGTCTTCATGACGAGATGACTATTTTGTAAAAGACTTTTTAGTGTAGACACAATTGTGTCCAACTGTACATAGCGGCTGACTAGTTTTTCTTTATGGCTTTTATTTTGTCCTTTTGCCATTCGTGTTATGACACAATGTGGATTTGTGTTTATACAAAATTTATTTGTATAATTTCATGTTTATTGATTCTCTAATAAATGCTTACTTATGTGATTTGTTTTCCTATGTCAGCACCACTTTATTTCAAGGTACTACTCATTAAAAAAATCTAATGGCAATTTAAGTTTTTTCCAGAGGATTAATGATGATGTTTAAATAAAGATGATCTCCCTTTCTCCTACAAGTGCCTTCAACATCCTCTGGGCACTAACTTACTCTGCACACCCTGAGCTTAGTTGTCCTTTTAAAAAAAATAAAATCCTAAGATTTACTGAAATTAGTCATTTACAGCTATTTTAGTTTTAAAAAAATAAATTTATAAAATGGTTATGAAGTAAATCTTATCATCTTCCATCTACAAGAGATGGACAGACTTTTTTACCTGGAAAAAGTTCTTATCCAAGTTTCATAATGAACAGAAATAGAACTAGTATTGCTTTCACAGCTGTGTCTTGATTTTCTCTGAGAACTTTATTTGCTGGAAGACTAACGAGTGGGGGGGAAAGGGATGTGGATATGCATGTGTGTGTTTATCAGAATTCATTAGGGGGGAAAAAAAACAAGGTCTGAAAAATAGTGTCAGAATAAGCCACTAAGCCCTATTGTGGGAAGTTTAATTAGTTCAAGGGGCAAGAAAAAAAATCACTCCTAGCAATGCATCAACTTCCTAGAGTAAAAGGAGTTTGTAATTTGGACACTTCAATACTAGCTCCCTGTCTTCCACAGAGGCCTGTTTTAAGATGTGCAGCTGTCTGTTTTGTACAATGCACAAACCAAGATGGCAAGCCATGAACCCAAAAAGAATGGGCTATCTGGAAGGCTCCTGTAACACTTTTTTACCCCTCAGATTTTTAAAGTGCTGTTTCTGAATAGGTGGGGGGTGTTGGAAGTGTCCGGTCTTGCTATTGTAGTCCACGTGGATGTCTGTTCTTTTCTGCCCGCTCCCCCCTCACTTGGTTGAGTATCTGGTACAGCTCCAGTACAGCTAGCAATGGAGAGTAATACGCAAGACTATCTCTAGGAATTTCTTTACTTCTGTATTGTCAAATGTTGCTACTGTATGGTAGTGAAGAGTGGTAGATAAGGCCTGTAAAATTGCTAAACTTGATTTGGGTAAGATGCAACAGAACAAATTCTGTATGACACTAGCTGTAACTAATGGCTGGTAAAAAAGTTGCGGCCTGCTCCCTCATGCATGTCAATGGACATCTGAATCGTATATCAAAATTTTACTCGCATTACAATACAATATGTTGTTCTACAATTCTGATGCCCTGCTGCTAATAGTTACACAAACATTGAACTATCAGTGATTTGGTTGATCTTGAGCTATTGCTGTTGGGTTTCCAATTCTGTTATTTCATGGTGTAACCTTTTGGTTGCCTATCCTTTCATTTGAGCTAAATGGTAACTTTCACCTAATGTATTTTTAAAGGGCTTGTTTTAAATTGGTGACTTACAACTAGAATACAGTGACGCCTTTTGCTGCCAGATGCTTTGAAAGGTACCTCAAGGCGGAAGAAGATAAGCAGATAAGTGCAGGCTTAAGCTTGCCCCTGCCTGGCCAACCCCCCATCCCCTTTGCCTAGCACCTCCTACAAAAGAGGTAGTATAAATTAAATTTTTTGAAATTGAGTGCTACTCCTTCAATTCACAAAAGGTAGAAAGGGGTGTTTCATGCCCCAACAGGTTGAGTGTCACTTGTAAATATTACTGTAGTATCTTTCATTAAAAGTACTATAGGACTGTGCCTGTACACTAACACTTGGGTTAATAATCTACTTAAAAGTCCACTATCTTATACAGGACTACTTCTACAAGCTACCTGACTGTGGGGCTCTTAAGCATGCCTTCATGGTCAGAGTGTTTATGGGAATCCTTTCTTTGAAAATAAAAGAAATAAGGTTATATAATGTTTAATTGGGCTAGGTGGTGGTAAAGTTTTCACTTGTTCTTGGAAATGTAAAACAAGGTAATGCACACACAAGGACCTATTCTGTTCTCTGTTAAGCACATTAATTATGCTTTGTTACCTGCATGCATAATCCAAATAAATACAGTCCCTGTTGCTAGATGCTCACAAGTTTAGGTCTTAATGTTAGTTGCCATTTTGGACAGACCATAGAAATCTCACCCGGGAAAATTGATTTGTTCAAAGCCCTCTTGATTCAATTCAGTGACATACTTACTGTGTTAAAAAAAATAATCCTGAATTCTGTACAGGCCCAGTTTCCCTGTTGTTTTCTTTTGATCTAATTTAAAATAATAATTCTGTATGTTTCTATTCTCTCTTTTTTTAAGCTTTTTTTCCTTGTACAGTTTGTACTTGCTTCTCATTTCTAATGTTTGCTTACTTGTTTTGTATTTATATTTGTCTAAATAACAAGGTAGAGTAAAATGTAGGTGTATATTGACTGGGTAAACACAGTTGTTTTCCCTGTATTTGAAACAAGGCAGCTGGCACAAATAAAGGTGGCTAAACAATTAACTATGGGATTGTTTTCCATTACTGGTCTAATTTTTTTTTTTAATTCTTGGAAGAAACAAAATAAATCCTATAGACTTGTTCTCCCTGCAGCAGCATAATTCCTGCTAGTGAATGGTAGCTAATTTAGGAAACCACAAGAACTAAGATTTACAAAATGAAACTAGTAGGTAGCAAGTTTAAATCTAACACAAAAGGAAGTTCTGTTTTTAGACAGCATATATTTCAAGTGTGGAACTTGTGTGCCACCAGACATGTGGAAGCTAGCTGTAAGTAGACTAAAAAAAGGACTGGACAATTTTTTGGAGGAAAGGTGCATCAGTCACTAGTGAGCATGGGAGTCGGAGGTACAGGCTCTGAATGAGAACTTCCTAGGCCCTAAATGTGTGTGCCTGTGTAGTAGTCAGTGGGGAATGGGACTCTACCCCTACTCCATTCACTCTCCCTTTCAGAACTCACTACTGTGTCTCAGGGTTTTCCTAAAGAGGCTTAGCCACTGCATCCCTATATGACACAGCCCTGGTGCTTCAGGGTGTACATCAAGTCTACGGTGAATCACTGCCCTTTCAGCATGCTTGGACGTAAGGACAAACTTCTTCAAATCTACACCAATCTGAAGCGATCTTCTAGCAGTTTGTCTGTTATTCCTTGTCTTTCCCTGGGGTGTCTTGGCAAACATGCTCTCCCAGGCTCTGCTGTTTGTTCCATCAAGTCCTCCCCCCTGCAAATCTTCTAGTCTCCAGGCTGATTCTTGTGACTCACAGGTTTAGAAATGCTGGTGTAGCTGATGGCATTATAAATCAGTGGTCTCCGAACTTTTTTGATGGTGCACCCCTATCAGTAAAAAAATTTTGAGCATGCCCCCAATATATGTATATTTGCACACCTCTATCGGTAAAAAATTTTTGAGCATGCACCCCTAATATATTTATATAAAGAGAAATTATAATATTTTCTTCCTGCACCCCAGTGGATTGTCTTATGCACCCCACTTTGGAGACCACTGTTATACATGACATTCTCTAGGAAAACCTTCAGTACGGCTGTCCTCGGAGAAGAGGCTGGGGCTATGCTCTGTGCCTCTGGCAGGTTGGGCAGCAGCTGGCAAGCTCAGTGCGATACTGTTAGGCAGTCTCTTGCAGGGCCGTTTAGTGTCTCCTTCCCCCAGCTTCTTCCTGCCCGGCACGGGCTGGATATCTTCCCTCATACTCTCTAGGCCCTACACGTAGCAAGATAAACCCAGGGGTCGGTGAACCCCAGCTCTGCGCGCAGCTGCCCCTGGGCGCGGAAGAGCCAGACTTGCTTGGGGCAGGAGCTTTTATTGCACAGACCACAGAGCTGGGCCAGAGGAGCGCGCGCGCAACCCCAGAGCCTTTCGGCCCTGGCACCAGGCCGCAGGGACCTCAGCTGCGGCACCACCCGCAACACACCAGAGGCCACGCCTGCAGCCTGCGCTATCATGTGACCCAGGGTCACTGGGTGGTGGGGGGTGGTGCCTGTCTTTTCCCGCGGAGGAGGGAGGCGCTCTTCCCACTCCTCTCTATGACCCTGCTGCCGCTCTACCTCCTCTTTTTATGGTCCCCGAGCCCGGCGGCGCACTGGAGCTGGGGGGAGGGGGTGGCGGCGGAGGCAGCTCTGCGAGCGGGCCCCGGGGTCACGTGACTCCCGCGGCGTTCCTTCCGCCCGCCATTTTAGGTTGGGTCCGCGGCAGCGCCATTAAAGCGGCTCGGAGGCGGCTCGGGGGGTTG